GGCTACCTTTCCATGCCATCAAGGAACACGTGAGTGAAGTGGGGAAGGAAGCGACTGTACTAGAAGTGGGAGCCTGTTTTGACTCTTCCTGGGGCTCCCACTCACCTGATCATCCAGTTAGCATTAAGGAAACAGAGAATGAGGGTTGGGGGGGGGGGGGGGGGGCTCCTTCCTCAACACATAAGAAGGCCCTGAACACAGTGCGCAGTAACCTGGAGGCCAGAGATGATGACAATGCTATTCCCTTTGGATGACTCATCAGGCCTCGCTGGCCCTCATGGCCCAGACAGAGAGAGACAGAAGGTGCATCTGTGCTTGAGGTGTGAGTGTCCAGGCAGGGAAAGTGAAATGAGAGATACGTCCTTTTATTTCTGCCAACAGCAGCCCTTAGTAAATGCAGCATGGAATGAAATGGGCCCATTCTTGATTCAAGTCTCCTGCTGGTGTGCTGGATACCTCAGACAATGCACTTCACCTCTCTGAATTTCACTTTCCTCATCGGCAGAAATAATAATACCAAACTTTGAGTAATTATTTCGAAGAATAAAAGGATAGCATGACCACAAACTCCTGGAGTTTCAGAGCACTCTGAAATGTACAGCGCAGCAGGTGGAAGACTGTCTCTGTGTTCGTTTTCAAATACACTCATAAATACAACTCACGGATGTTCTCTTACGCATCAAAGTGGGTAACACAAGCACAAGCTAACACATTTCTCCATGAAACTCAATAAGGTTATTTTTACCATTTATGAAAACAGACACAAACACTCTTAAAAACTTGCACTTTCCTGATTCGTTTCTCATGTTGTCCAAAGGAACAAGACTTAAAATCTCAACAGTCCTGTAAACACTCTGTGTCATGACTTTTGTCCCTGACCAACTCAGTGGCCCTATGAGACAGGAGTAAATTCTGGCTGCCATCCAGTGGTCCTAGTCCTTCTATTCTGTTGAGGATTCATCTATCTCAGCATTTGTCTCTTTTCTTCATTCTAGTGTCATGGTGCAATGATCAGGACAGATCAGGGTCTGGTGGGACACTGCGTGATGCTGTCTTCACAGGTCACAGGCCCTTTGGGGTGAAGGTTGCTCGCCAGCCCTGAAGCAGAAACACCTCAATTTGTTTTGGAAATGCTGAGGGTGTAGCTTTCCTTGGACATTATAATCTGCTTCTGATGCCCAAGAATGATGGAAAACTCAGGGAAAGCAGAAGAAAAGGAGACATTTGTGTAGAATCCATCTACCCAAGTGTGTGTTCCCAGAAATGACATTGTATCCTGTACTCTGGATCTGGACAAAGAATTTAGTGTCCATGATTTCTGCCTCTTCAGCACAGCTTCTTCTTCACAACCAACTTCATACACTTCAAAAAACACCTGCTCTTATCCAGAGCCAGCAGCACAAATCTGTGTACTACTAGAGAGACTTTGCTTCCTAGTAGGAAACCACAGTATTTGTCTATAAGAACAAAGTAGAGAACATATGTGTGTGTGTGTAAGGGGTGATGCCTATAAGGAGAGGAGAGAAAAGAAGAGATGAGAGCAGAGCAGAGGAGAGGAGAGGGAGAAAGATTTGTTGGCATGAGTCTTTGACATACTTAGAGGGTTTTATAAGAGTCTAAACAGCTTGACTACAACTATGATTGCATAAAAAATTGGTCTGCAAAGAACTGGGCTAAGAGAAAACACACTTGGGAAGTCACAAGACAGAGAATAAAGACAGATATTGAAATATCTTAATATCTTAATATATTTCAGACCCAAAGACCAACACTGACTGTTAAGGTGCTTCTTAGTTCATCTATCCAATAGGGAACAATCTGACCACTAGTCCAGCAAAGGGTGTTTTATTCAGTGTAACATTAAGCCTCCTCCCCTAAATTAGGCTGGAGGTGAAATTCTCAAGTAGTTCAGAGACTGATTTTCCAGGAGATTCTGGAAGGGCAGGCACTTGTGTAGAATCCATATGCAAAGCAGACAATGGCAACCACATGCCTTGATTTCATCCCATCATTTCCCCAAAAAAGTTTTATTAATTTATTTATGCACTTATCTATTTATTCAAAAGTCAGAGTAACATAAAGGGCAGAAGGAAAGAGGGAAGGAAAGTTTGATGGAAGGTGTGAGAGAGAGACATCTTCCATCTGCTGATTCATAGTCTAAAAAACCTGCCATGGCCAGGGCTGGACTAGACTGAAGCCAAGAACCTAGAACTTCATCTGGCTCTCTGCATGGGTGGCAGGGGGCAAGCACTTGAGCCATCTTTCACTTCTTTCTTAGGCACACAAACAGGAATGCTGCACAGGAAGTGGAGCAGCTGGGTCTCAAACCAGCGCTCATTTGGGATTCCTGCCTTACAGGTGGTAGCTTACCTTGCTGTACAAAATGCCAAACCTACTTTTCCTATCTTTCACCTTATAAGAGGTGGGTGAAAAGGAAGCAAAAAAAGGGAAGTTTCAAAGAATGCATTCCCACTCACTCTCACGACCAAGTCTAGCATCTGAGAGACAGGCGTGAGCTGACAGTCTACAAACTCTCCACCCTATTTATATGCAAGATTCTGCATGCCTGGTTTCCCGTAGAAAAGCAACAACAAAATAATGCTGAAAAGTCCCTTCCTGGCAATGGCAGAAGCATGAGGATATCCAAACAGAGATCCCCGCAATGGGTTCAGTTTTAACCGCCCCTCCCCCTTCTCAGCCATGTGTCAGAGCAGAGCATATTTCGACACCGTGGAGGAAAGATGGTAATTTGGGAAGTTTTCAGTTAACATGCTATTACGGCTTTGACAGCTCTCTTGACAAATCCGAAATAGCACTCTTGATTCTTGGATGACAGTCTTACACTAAAACACAAAATGGTTCTTTTTAGAAACTTACAACTTCAGCCAAGTTTTGGGTGCATGAAAATGGTGGCATGTGAATTCTTTTTAACTCCCCAAATGGAGAAAGTGTGTGCAAGCTCATGTTCTGGAACAACGTCGTCAATTGCCACAAAGAACTGAACTCTCCCGAGTCCTTGGGCCGTCCTCTAGGCAGGTGCAGCTTTGTGAAGGCAGAGACCATGAAAGTGAGTGTCTCATTGGCCAAGAAAGCCATGCTGGATTTTCCACCCTCCAGGATTGTGAACAGTCTGTGTATCTTTTTCCTTCTTCTTGGTGACTCTGGGGAAAAGGGAAAAGCAAAGGCAGACGAGAGAAGAGATTGCACAGAAAGAAGTGGGAATGACAAATGTCTCTTTCTTCTTTACCTAGACCAAGTGGTTCATGAAAACCACGACTGTGGTCTCAGCACAACTCTGATGTGCATGCGCAGTCACGCCCTTTAGAATTTTACCAACAGCAACTGCTTTAGTTCACCTAACTACAGTTACAGAAGGTTTCAGCTGATTAGAAAAAATGAAAAGTCAAATACTTGCATTCTCCTGAAGAAACAAAATACCTTTCAGCGAAAAGGATGATTTATCAGGGCTGAAAACAAAACTCTCATTTTACTGGAGTCTGCTGCGGCTGAGTTCTCATTATTTTGGTCCTAATTTATTTTATAGGGTACTAATTAATGGGGCAAAGTCTGCTGCCAGGAAAGTAAATCGCATTTTGCGGATTGTTTTTTTTTTTTTTTCTTTTCTAACAAGGTACAGACCCGGACTTTAATAAAAGCGCAAGTGCCAAAGGCACACAGGGTCCACTACTGAAACCAGGAAACCTTTGGTGGCGTTCTGTTGTATAGAATGCCAGAAGGAAAAAAAAAATTATGGGGAGAAGAAATTGCACAAGTGACCTCCCAAAGATAAAAAGAGTGTCTCCCTCGAAAACGCACCCACCACCCTCCCATCCATCTTTCCTCTGCTCCCACAGCTCAATTGTCCAACTGGCTGCACTACTACAAGACGCATTTTCCAAGGGCGCTTTTCTTTACCAATCCTCAAGCAGCTCTGATTTTTAAGGTAGCTTCGCTTTCGTCCCACTCCCCACCCCTTCTCGCACTTCTCTTCTGGTGTGGGGGGAGGGAGTGGGCTGGTACTCCCCCCTATGATCTCTGACCCTGGCTTTGCTGCGGACCCCTCACATCTGCTCCCTGCTCAACTTCTCCGCCCTCCTTTCTTCCTCCCGCACCGTCTTCTTTCTATTTGATTCCTGGGAGTTCTTCCCCCTCCTGGAAGCCTCTGGACCCTCATGGAGGCAGGCAGTGCGGATGATGGGCTGGGCAGAACGAGCGCCTAGCTCACACCCGGGAGCCGGGCCCTGACGTCACCACACCCTGCCTGTCAATCAGCCGCGGGCGCGCTGCTGGAGGCAGCCTGTGCAGCCCAAGACAAGTCTCACTCGCCTAGCACAGCTACAAAGCCCCGGAGCTCTCTACTAGCCCGCCTGGCAGCCTGCTGCAGCAGCTGCGCAGGGAGCGCAGCCCGGCACCCCACCAAGGCACCCATGACCAGTGATCTGCTGAAGGCCTGATTGCCCAGGTGAGCGACCGGCCTCTGGGAGGGGGTGGTGGTGGAAGGGGGCTTGCAGTGGTTGGGGGAGTGGAGGAGTGAAGGCAAGCCTCAGGACGGGGTTCTTCCCTGAAGCCGGAGAAACGGGGCCAAGCTTGACTCCTCACCCTGGACCCACACGCGCGAGCACACATACCCAATTTCCCCGTCCCCAAACGTCTTCCCTAGGGTCGGTGTGTGGAGCGCGAAAACTTCAATTTTCAGCACCGTGGACAGCGGCGCTGCTGCCCAGTGGAGGGGACTGCCCATCTGAGCCAGTCACTTTCCACGGCTGTCAGTCCTTGCTCGGGGTCCTGGGGTGCGTGTACAAACATAAGCACACTTATAGGACCACCCTGAGCAAGTGTGTGCGTACACGACCTCTGTGCACGTCTGCGCAAAAACTCTGAGTCGGTGCGCTTGGTTCGCACTCAACAGGTCTTTGAGGTTCACTCTGAACCGCTGCTTGAGCGCTCTGCACCACGGGGTTGCTGGGAGCCTCCAGAAGGAGGATTCATCCAGGGGCAGTGCGCTCGGGGAAGTTCTCTGGCAACCTGAGGGGCACCTCTGATGCCTGCTCTCCCTCTCTTTGCAGGGTGCAGCACCTGGCCGCGATGAACGCCAGCACCGCCTCGCTCAATGAGTCCCAGGTGGTGGCGGTGGCGGCCGAGGGAGCCGCCGCTGCTGCTGCTGCGGCCACCGCCGCTGGGGCCCCGGACGCCGGGGAATGGGGTCCGCCCGCGGCAGCCGCGGCGCTGGGAGGAGGTGCTGGAGCTAACGCGTCGCTGGAGCTGTCTTCGCAGCTGCAGTCAGGACCGTCGGGACTGCTGCTGTCCGCAGTGAATCCCTGGGACGTGCTGCTGTGCGTTTCGGGAACAGTGATCGCAGGCGAGAACGCGCTGGTAGTGGCACTCATCGCGTCCACCCCGGCCCTGCGCACTCCTATGTTCGTGCTGGTGGGCAGCCTGGCCACTGCCGACCTGCTGGCCGGCTGCGGCCTCATCCTGCACTTCGTGTTCCAGTACTTGGTGCCCTCGGAGACTGTGAGCCTGCTTACCGTGGGCTTCCTCGTTGCCTCCTTCGCCGCCTCGGTGAGCAGCCTGCTAGCCATTACGGTGGACCGATATCTATCACTATACAACGCGCTCACCTATTACTCGCGCCGGACCCTGTTGGGCGTGCACCTTCTGCTTGCAGCCACCTGGACGGTGTCCCTAGGCCTTGGGCTCTTGCCGGTTCTCGGCTGGAACTGCCTGGGCGAGCGGGCTACCTGCAGTGTGGTGCGTCCGCTGACGCGCAGCCACGTGGCGCTACTCTCAGCAGCCTTCTTTGCGGTCTTCGGGATCATGCTGCACCTGTACGTGCGCATCTGCCAGGTGGTGTGGCGCCACGCTCACCAGATCGCGCTGCAGCAGCACTGCCTTGCGCCACCCCACCTCGCGGCCACCAGAAAGGGCGTGGGTACACTGGCCGTGGTGCTGGGCACTTTCGGGGTCAGCTGGCTCCCCTTCGCCATCTATTGCGTGGTGGGCAGCCAAGAGGATCCAGCCATCTACACCTATGCCACTCTGTTGCCCGCCACCTACAACTCCATGATCAATCCCATCATCTATGCCTTCCGCAACCAGGAGATCCAGCGTGCCCTGTGGCTCCTGTTCTGTGGCTGTTTCCAGTCCAATGTGCCCTTCCGCTCCAGGTCCCCCAGCGAGGTCTGAAGGGCTAATCCGCGTCTCCTCTTGCCAGCACCAGACACACTCAACCAAACAGCCTTTGGGGAGTCTCTCCTTGCCAGCTGATGAACTCTGAGATCCCGGCAGTGTGAACCTGAATTTGGTAGGAAAAGAGGAAATTAACTCCAGTGCAACAAACTCACAGGGACAAAGAGGCTTGTTGGCACTTTACATATACAGTGTATACATGTGTACATATATATACAAATATTTGTATCCTCTGGAGGTGTTGGCAATATAGCGCTTCCTGGTCTGTGTGCAAAATTAACACGAAGATGTGATTGTGTACTCAAACTGTACATCACATTTGTCAAGTGAAGACATTCCAATACTGCTTAATTATAGCACTTTATTTTAGCTGCTGAACTGCCGAAACAGTGTTGCCATTTTCAGGGCGGGAAAAGCGAGCAAATGGCATATTTTTTTGAAGTATGTGATAGAATATTTTGCTGCCATTGGGTCAACAAATGACAACATATTTTGTACACAAATAAACATATTATAAAAACATAATTTGCAATATGTGGCTGACTGCAGAATTGCTGGTGAGATGAGCTGTGAGTGCATTTGCTTTAAAGGTTTATTATGTAACATCTGCCTCCTGAGACCATCTTAATGTAAAAAAATATCATATGCAGTATTGCTACATTGTGCATACATTTTCACTGAGCTATCTAATTTGGATGATTGCAGTGGGTGGGAAGGGAATACACACTCATGTAATTGTTCTCAAAGGGTTTGAAAGGGTGATTAGTGCTACCAGTACCAGCTCATTCACTCCTTTGGCTTCTGGGCCTGAAAGAGCAGCTCCCAAGGGTGTCTGGAACCATTCCTTCCAATTACCACAGGTGCACTTGTGATTCCTGCAACCAGTACCTTCCAGTTGGAGCTGATCCAGGATTGACTCAGTACCTGACTGCCAGTCAGATCTTGTAGCAAAATGCAGTCTCCTAAACCCTTCCAAAACAGGAGTCCAAGGCGCATGTATTTCCCTTCTATCTTTACGGACTAAAAGAGGGCATGTCTGGCAGCCCTTTTCATCTTCATCACAGGATCTTATGGTCCTCAAACACTGAATATTCCCACTCAGCCAACGAGTGTGCATCAGGTTCCCCTTCCTCCCTGTCTGACAGAGGGATGTGGAGATAGATAAGACAGCTCATCTAGGCAGGCACCCAGCCCCTTTGCAGAAATTGGCACATAAACCAGAGTAATCACTGTTCTTAGGTTTTAGGGAAATATATGCAAGTAAATTCTCTCACATATTTCATAAATACTTTTTTTTCATTTTAAAACAGATTTTATTTTATTTGAAAGGCAGAGTTACAGAGAAAAGGGATGAAAGAGATATTTCATTCTCTGGTTCATTCCCCAAATGGTTGTAACAGTCAGAGCTGAGCCGATCCCAAGCCATGAACCTCTTCTGGGTCCCCCATGTGGATGCAGGTGCTCAAGAACTTGGGCCATCTTCCACTGCTTTACCAGATCATAAGCAGAGAGCTAGATGGATCAGCAGTAGTGGGCTGATCCACTGGGACACAAATTGGCACCCATGTTGGAGCCCTGTGTCTCAGGCAGAGGCTTAGCCCACTATGCTATGATTCTGGGCCCCAGAATATTTATTGAGTACCCTACACATTCTAGACACAGTGCCAAGGCTGACTGTATCATGCTCATGTTATTGCATTCTAGTAGGGAAGATGATCTACATGCAAATAAACATACAGTGTCATGCTGGGGCAAATGCTGATAAGGAAAAGAAAGTGGGGTGAAGGGTAGCAGGGTAGTTAAGGCAAGTGTCATGAAGAGACAACATGTCAAAGAATATCCCGGTGAACAGGAGTGTAACACAGCGGAGAATGTGAGGGAAACAGATTAAGGGAGCAGCAAGAGCAAATCTTTCCAGGTGGGAGCAAGCCTGGTGAGTTTAAGGAGAAGCGAGAAGGTCAGTGCAGCTGAGGAGAGTGAGCAAAGGAAAGACGAGGCCTAGAATTTACTAAAAGAGGAAATTGGGATGGATAGTTTCAAACTTTGTGGCCACTGTAGGAACTAGACTTTTACTCTGAGGGATGTGGAAGTACATGATGGGATTTGCACTTTAAAGATGCATCTTTACTGTCCTATTTAAAAGTATTTCCAAGATGGACACAACAGAAGCAAGAAATCAGATCCATAACCACTATCCTCATGAGAAATGGCAGTGGCAGTGGTGGGGCTGGAGAAAAGGGCAAAGCCAGATATTTGGTCAAACCTTCTGGGTGTTTCTGTGAGGATGTTTTTAACTAAGGTTTAAATTGGTAGGTTTTTCAATAAAGCCACTTGCCCAGCGTAGAGTGGATGGGCCTTGTCTAATCAGTTGAAAGCCAGAAGAGAACAAAAGATCTAGCAAGAGAGAATTCCCCAGCAGACTGGCTTCAGACTTCATGAACAACACCAGTTCTTCCTGCTTCTGCAGCTGATGGTCTAGCATGGAAACTGGCGTTATCTCTGCATCTCTCTGCAGGCAGCTCATGCTGTAGTTTGATCTTGCCAACCTCCATAATTCCTGGGTATAAATATCTTCACCCGCAAACCTGTGCACAGGCACAGCCCATTGGTAGGATGTGCACATGTACATGCATGCATGCCTAGTTGCTCTTGTTTCTCTGGAAAATCTTGATTGACACAGGAAAAATAGGGACCTTGAAAAGTCATGATTAGGAGCTGACAAGGTTGTGTAGCAGGCAAACCTCATGCTGCAGTGCCAGAATCCCACATGGGTGCTGGTTCATGTCCCGCTGCTCCACTTCCAATCTAGCTCCCTACTAATGCACCTAGGAAAATAGCAGAGGACTTAACATATGCCACATACAGCTGCACACATTTCACATATACGATCTCATTTCATTATCAATAACAACCCTCAAAAGAAGGGATCCCAGAAGGACATCAGCGGCTCATTCAAATCAGAGGCTGAGAAGAGTTCAGTGAAGGGCCTACTTGCAAAAGTGTGAGCAGAGTTAACATAATGACTTTAGCAAGAGCTAGCATTGGCAGGGTTGCCAGGAGAGGCAAGAGGAAGAACAATCACTGAAATGGGATGAGGGCTGTGCTGTTGGCTGTGCAAATCGGGTAAGCCAACTTACACTTAAAAGCCCCACAGCAATTGTGGTCTTCAGCAGAGAAATGGGGCAGCAGCCACTGCCCACTTGTTGTCTAGCAAGGGGAGCTGGTGGAATAAACACCTGAGCACCTTCTCCCCACTCCATCCCATATCCTGTTGTGCATATCATTAGGTACATCAGATGCCAGAGTGCAACACAACTGTTTGATGAAGTCCACAAGAGGTTAGCTTTCCTGGGAACTGTGAAAGGTGAATGTGCCAGTCCAAAGCAGAGAATGCCCAATTGCAATGCTATGAGTTATGTGGTATCATAAGCTCTACTCCACAGATGAGGAAACAGGCACAGAGAGGTGAGCTATCCAAGCCTGGAGTTTGGGAGATGGCTCTAATCTGGACAAATGAATTAGGGAACTATCAACATCTGAGTATGTGTGGCATAATCATGGGTCTGGAGGGGATTATGTTGGGAATTCTTGTAGAGAGAAGGGAAGAGGGCAAAGAAAGGAGCCTTAGGACAAGGAAGTATTTAGAAATCAAAAAAACAATAACAATCAAGTAGAGAAAGAGTGCTCAGCACAGTGGGAGTAGACTTCCAAAGTAAGGAAGAAAGACATTTGTGGGACATGGGTGAATAGTTGGCCTTGAGATTAGGGAACCCACTTGGGATGCCTATTTCCCAAAATATAATGGCTGGGTGTGAGTCCCAGTTCTACTCCTGACTCCAGCTTCCTGCTATTGTGCACCCTGGAAGAAAGAAGCTCAAGAAGCTGGGTTCCTTGTCCTCCATATAAAAGACCGGAGTTGACTTCCCAGCTCCCAGCTCAGTTCAAGCCACTGTGGGGCATTTGGAAAATGACCCCAGTGGATAAGAGTGTCTCTCTTTTTCCCTTTCTCTGTATGTATCCTCAAATAAACATTTTTAGGACATTGTATAGTAGCCTAATGGCTGAAGTCCTTGGCTTGCATGCACTGTGATCCCCTCTGGGCACTGGTTCATGTCCTGGCTTCTTTACTTCCCTCCCAGCTACCTGCTTGTGGCCTGGAAAGGCAGTGGAGGATTGCCTGAGGCGTGGGGACCCTGCACCCACATGGGAGACCCATAAGAAACTTCTGGCTCCTGACTTTGGATTAGCTCAATTCCAGCCATTGTGGCCATTTGGGAAGTGAGTCAGCAGATGAAAAATCTTTCTCTCTTTCTCCCCTCTGTAAATACGATTTTCTAATAAAAAATAAATAAATCTTTAAAAATAGATAAATAAATATGTGTAAATGTTGCAAAAGTACCTAGAGATTTGGTACAATGGATGTCATTGCTGAGCATGACAAGACAAGCTTAAGGTAAGAATGAGAGGGAAAAAGCATGATTGAAGATGCCAGAACAAATGCACAGATGAATTACTCTCGAGTGGATCATTGCAGAACCGTATCTTTGCAAATCTACAAGACAGCTCTGGCTTCTTAGATATACAGCTCAACAGTGTCTGTCAGTTTAGATTCATGAAGATCAGTATTATTGCCAGTTCATCAGATTGAACATTTCTGAAGAACTATCCTTCATAGCCTCTGCAGCCTCCTCAGACCCTGGTTCAGGTCCCGCTCACAACCGGAATGCACGCTGGCCTGAAATACAAAAGCTCTGGCTGTCAATTCCACATATGTAGAGAGACAGACATAGCATTCCAGAGATGGAGCAAAGAATTTAATCTTGTATATTTTTCATAACTACTGGAAAAACTTTCTTCCCATCAGAGTAGGAAGAAAGTTAGGATAATGAAACAGAGGCCATAGATCTCACTTCAATAAACTTGATATTAATATTTAACATCAGTCCCAGTCTTTATCAAAGTATTTGGGAGAAGCTAGAATAAGAGGTGACTCAATCAGGCTGTTGATAATCCTCACTTACACGTTGGCCTACCTGGGTAATATAGATAAGTGTTTAATATTAACTAACGTGGTTGTATAAGAATATAAAGCTGTGGGTAAACCTTAAAATAGTTTCATAGCTTAATGTCACACAGTAATTCAACTATCGAATATTAATACTTTTTAATATTTATTTATTTTTATTGGAAAGGCAGATATACAGAGAGGAGGAGAGACAGAGAGGAAGATCTTTAGTCTGTTAATTCACTCCCCAAGTGGCTGCAGCAGCCAGAGCTGAACCAATCCGAAGCCAGGATCCAGGAGGCTCTTCTGGGTCTCCCATATGGGTACAGGTGGAGGATCCCCAGGCTTTGAGCTTATCCTCGACTGCTTTCCCTGGCCACAAGCAGGGAGCTGGATGGGAAGTGGGGCTGCTGGGATTAGAACCAACACCCACATGGGATCCCAATGTGTGCAAGTGAGGACTTGAGTCACTAGACTACCGTGCAGGGCCCAATCTATAGAATATTCATAATTTC